GGCCCTTCGGGCCTAAAGTTTTGCCACTGGGCCCCTCGGGGCCCCTTTCCATTGTGTTCCCAGGGCCCCTCGGTTTTCTCAGTTCTAACATTTTTTTTCATTTTTTAAATAATTTTTTAACCTTCGCCCCAGTAAGGGGGGGCGGCATATGTTACCACCCTGTCACGTTTTTTGCGTGTAAATAAAAAAAACGCGGGGCGTAGCGCCGCGCCGCTTAGGGTAGCTTTGGTACATCAATTTTTGACAATGTGTGAAATTTTTGACCCCAGGTCATGTCAGGTCAGGTCACCAGGTCAAGTTAACTGACCAAGCCTAAACAAGTTTGCAATCATGTCCAGCCTGCAGTGTTTGTCAGAAAGGTTTTAAACTTGGTGGATTGCATGATGTTAGGGGCGCCTACAATTTGTATATTTCGGATTTTTCATATCCGTGACCTAAGGTCAGGTCAGTGGCATGACCTTTCCATTACAAGTCAATGGAGAAAAATGAAAATGCCTCTAGATACGTGTGTGCGCATAGGAACAGTCCAAATATTTCAGAATCACAATGATTTGGACCACCCGTGATGATCAAGGTGTCATTTTTGCTGATAGCCTCTAGAAAGGTCATCCGAGGTCATTTGAGGCTACAAACAGATTTTTGCCAATAACTCGCGATTGCAAAGAGCTAGAACGCTGGGGATGGCCTCATTGTGTTTGTCTTGCCGAGACACATCGACTGATATGCAATATGACCTTTTCCGGTCAGGTCATGACCTTGACCTGAGGTCAAATTTTCAAGTTGACCTTTCAAGGTCAAATTATAGTTCATTCGACGCGCCTCTGCGAGAAGAACACGATTCTGGCAATAAAAATGTCGTGGCTTTTTGTAGTCGAAAGTTATTATCGAAAAACACTGTTCGTAAAAACAGCTATTTTTGGAGTTTTTGCCCTCTGGAGGGTATACCGTTGACCTGAGGTCAATTTTGATAATAACCTTATCAAAAGAAGAGCTCAAAAGTTATCGATTGCTTTTCATGCGTTTTTCTAGGTACCATAGTTCCTGAGATAACGGCATGTTTTCTGAAAAATATAATGACAATTGGCAAAATTTGAACTTTGATGACCTCTGGTGACCCCAATATTGTTCTAAGATGAAAAATGACAGAAATACTTTCAGACGTACGCGTTTAGAGCTATCGACTGCTTTTTACTGCGTCTTTCTAGCCCTCTTAGTTTTTGAGTTAGAGGTGGTTGGTAACATATGCCCCCCCACTAGGGCGAAGTTCGCTGAGACCGCCACTGGGGCGCGGGTTAAATTTATTTGGGTCCACTCCAAAAAATAGTTGATGAAATGCGATGACTTTTTGGATTTTGAGGGGGTTTACCTTGGGCACTGTAAGTTTGGCCCCTCCTGGAGGAAATCCTGGCAACGCCCCTGACCCACCCCTTGCCGTTTCGCCCCTAACCCGCGACCGCCTGGGGGGGGGGGGTCGGATCCGACCCCCCCTCCGTTTTTCTTGAATAACTCATGAATCGCTTGCGCTATCAACTTGAAACTTGGCATACCTTTTCCCCCATCAATTTGACGTCTCCTGTGCAATTTTTAGGAAAAAATTTCCAAAAATCTTTGAGATATATCGATTTTAGTGATGTAACTACATGGCGTTTTCAGTCAAAAAATGGTAAATGTTTAAAAAATCGCCAAAAATCGAAGTTTTAAGTAAATTGCAAACTAAGGACATGAAAAGACGCAGCTCAACGAGTTCTTTAAAATGGCTATCTCGGATTTTCCATAAAATGCGTTTTTCACCCCTAAAAATTCAAAAAACTATATTTTTTGGAAAACAGCTAATAAAATCCAAAATTTTGAGAATTTCCAAAAAACCGGAATACATGTTATAGAGCTCTATTAGAACATTAGATGTCCCAAATTTCAACTTTCTATCTTGATTTTTGACCCCCAAATTGTAAAAAATAGCTCCAACATGCATAGGGCATGGTGACGTCATAAGCATTTTCGCGAATTAGAGGCACTTCTGAACATCGCATGTGAAAACAAATGGCACCACTAGATTCCTGGGACAAAGCTCGTCTAGAAAAGTGGATTTTTATGTCAAAAATAAAAAGTTGAAAAATTGACTTTTTTTCTTAGCCCTCGCTTAGTTATGTATGGTATAAACGATTTTTTATGCTTTCAATGCACACTTATCACCAGCACAGTGACTTGGGGTCACATATAACCCGCGCCCCGCTGGGGGGGGGGCAGAATCTGCCCCCCCTCCCGTTTTTCGCCAATAACTTCTAAACGCGTTACGCCAGCGACGTCAAACTTTCAGTACCTTATCATACATCAATTTGACACGTTCCCTGAAAATTTGAGCGAAATCCGTCGGAAAATTTTTGAGAAATTGACGTTTTAGTGACGTCATGTTCGCCATTTTCGTCTAAAAAACGGCAAAATTTCAAACGCCGCTAACTTCTTCATTTTTAAAGGAATCAAGACGTAACAAAAAGGTTATACGTGATTCTACTTTGTCTATCAAATGGCTATCTCGGTTTTTTGAAAATTTTGGATTTTGGCCAAAATTTTTCCAAAAAAACTGACTTTTTTGGGAAAATATTTATAAAATCCAAAATTTTGAGTTTATCGAAAAAACGGAATATATGTCAAAGAAGTGGTCTATGTGCACCTACATACCAATTTTGAGAAGAATTGGTTCAAAAATGTGGGAGTTATTCAAAATTTTATGACGTCACGACACACAAAAATTTTGAAAAATGATTTTTTTTGGAAGTTCTAGACCTCGTACGGAAACAAAAATAGCACCATTCGATTCGCCGTGAAAAACTGCATCGGATAGACACCTTTTTAGGCCTTAACAGCCAACTTCAAAATTTGACCTCACTTGACCTGACCTTGACCTGACCTCGACCTGAAATTCATCCAGAGGTGGTCCATATCACTTATTGAGTGTGCCTATTGAATTCCATGAGTAAAATGACCCATAAAACATGTGTCGCACATGCCCTTTTCTATATTTTGTTTTTGGTGACCTGACCTGACCTGACCTGACCTTGACCTTAACCTTTGAATGACATTGTGTGCAACGAATATTGTCTTGGTAGTCTAAGAACACGTTTTGGGCAATCAGTCTCAGTCCATTCTTCGGCAACTACGGTGCAAGGCCGATACTGTAGAAACTTGCATTTTGTACCCTTGACCTGACCTTGACCTGACCTCTGACCTACTTAAGCAAAAAAAAATTAGGCTCTTAAGATCCGCCTTGTTGAGAGCTTTCGATTGCCGTTTTCCCCCTCTTTCTACGACCATCGGTTCGGAAGTTAGACAGGGGGGGGCAGAATCTGCCCCCCCCAGCAGGGCGCGTATGGCTGAATAGCCCAGCGGGGCGCGGGATAACCATTACCGTCGGATTTGGCGTGAAAAATAAGCCATAAAACATGTGTCGCACGCCCATGTAGCAGAAAGTGAAAACCGTGACCTTTCGTGACCTGACCTGACCTTGACCCGTACTTAGTATGACCCCTATACGCACATGGTACCTTCACTAGGTCTTTGAGGTCATTTGTGGTGAGTTTCGAGCAGCAGCTATCGATTCCGCTGTCCGTAAGCCTAATCATGCAAAACCCCTGAATTTGACCTTTGACCTGACCTTGACCCGAAAGTTGACCTCAATCTTAAAATCTTAAGAGTGCTTTGGGAAGGTCTCGTAGAGACCTTTCGAACGCCGCCTCGCGGGGCTCGATACGACCATTGGTTCTCGAGATAACAGGGGGGGGGTCGGATCCGACCCCCCCCCCCCAGGCTGTCGTGGGTACGGAAATAGCCCAGGCGGTGCCGGGCTAATCAAGCTAGAGCTTCGCGGAAAAAGGAGCGTATTGCACGTGACGAGAGGAAGCCGATCATACACAACTTTAAGGTCCTAGGTCATTGTTTGACCTTCCAGATCAGGTCAATGACCCAAAAGTCGAGAAAATCGGGACCTGTTAGAGCGTCGTAGAATGTGGCTGCTATGGGTTTTTCGGGGTGCTGATCACGAATACCATGTTAGTTTTTGATCACAGAGATAATGTCTTCATGCATTTAGGCCTGGTCGGGTCGGGTCAGGTCAGGTCAGGTCAGGTCAGGTCAGGTCAGGTCAATCAGTAGGTAGGGGTTCTGCCGGGTATTTGTTGTAGGTGTCAATTTGTCAAAGTTGTGTCAGTAGGTGTCAAAAACGCAAAACATTGTGTTTTAGGCAAGCTGAATTTACTTTTCGTTAATTTTTTTTTGGCTGTATTTTTGGTAAAAGCTTCTCAATTCATGAGCTCATGTAACAGGGACACACAAACCAATCGGTGCACACATCACTATACACAGACACAAACACAGACATACAAACACATATCATTGACTTTGACCTTGACCTAACCTGACCTGAATTGACCCCAGTCAGCAAAAATTAGTCGCATAGTGTGACAAAGAGCTGTTCTAGCTGGCTTGACACCAATATTGCAGCGTCATCGGTATATGATGGGCACTGCACGTGATATTCCAACGGTTAACCCAAACAGGAACATTATTTAGTTTGAGCTGACCTGGAAGGTCAATGACTGCACATTGAGGTAAAATTGGATACCATTGGATTTGTCTCTTCCAAAAGAATCTGTTAGTTTTTACCGCGAAACTCTATCTCCAGCAGGAACGAAATGGCGCGGGGGTATAGTGTTGGGATATTGTGACCGCGGACCGGCCGTGTGGGGCCGTGGAACAGGGTGGGGTCGGCGGCCCGGCCGTCCGGCCGGCGAGCCGCCTGACCGCCGCGCGGTCATCGTGCATGCGCTCTGTACCGTGGTTATATAAGGGCGCGACCGTGACCAGACTGGGTCAGTCGGCGGGTCGCCGTGTCCGTGCTTGGTCGTCGGTCGCTGGAAGCACAATACACCGTGTCGTGGTATATGCAGCTTTATCTGGCCCTAACAATAGCACCCCCCCTCCCATGTGCGCTCTACGGTGGAAAAATGGCATGTGCGGACGAGGGTTTAAAAAACTAACCCCGACCACTCTAAGTAGGTACCCTGTCCACCGACTGCCGTCCTGTGTTCTTATCAATATCAAACATCATGGGCTAGATGGCGATAGTAATGACGCTGATACTGAACAGTTTTAGTCATGTATAGTCGGTCAAATATGTATCTTTCCCGGCCGGCCCTCCCCACGCTGGGCAGGTCGGTAACTTGGCTGAATCCGCCGGCCGCTGCGAGTACTACGGAGGGGAGGGGACAGGTTGTGCGGTTGCCGCGTCGGCCAATGAGCGCGGACCTGGCGAGCGGGCTGGGGCCACGGCGTGTTGACCTAATATGGTCAAAGGTTCATGCCCTGCGGGTATGGTCTGCGGCCAGCTGGCCCACTGTTTGAGCCACAGCACCGGGTCGCGGAAAGGTTTCGATAGGTATCTGAATTGGAGAGTGGAGACCGTTAGCTTGAACTTGAGTGTAGTCGCTCTAGGTTTGAGATGCCGTATCACTGCACCGTTTTTGAAAAGGGGAGAATTATTCAGTTGAGTGATGAGGGCGAAAGAAAGAGCGATAAAAAACGTTTTTACTTCTGATACTTTTTCTTAAATAGCTTTTGATCCAGACAAGATAAAGGATCGATTCGAACGTCATCGTTCTTAGCTTGTCAAAGCGCATCGAAAGCTATATCATGTGACCTCGAAAGGTCAAGTTGAAAATTTGACCTAAGGTCAAGGTCATGACCTGACTGAAATAGGTCATGTTGCATATCATTCGATCCGCATTGATCAGACAAACATGATAAACGTCGAACGGAGTCTCTATTTCTATTCACTCAAAAGTTATTGCAGAAAACCCCCGCTGGTGACCTCAGGTGACCTCGGATGACCTAGCGACACCTTCCAAAGGTCACCGGTGACATCTTTCGGTAGAATGACCACCAGGGACCTGCAACACCATGATCCTGAATATATTGTGTGGATCGGGTGGCATTCAGATGAAGTTGAAATTTATCCCATTGACTTATAATGGGGAGGTTGTGAGATTGACCTGACCTCAGGTCATAGATAAAAAAATCCGAGACATACATTTTGTGGATATTGTCACCCTTACTAACTCCTGAAAGTTTCATATCGATCGGTCAACAGTTGTAGCTTTGGTGCAAGTTCAAACTTTTTGTGACGTTAGGTCACTCAAACCGACCTGTTGACCTGACCTTAAGTCATATAAGGTCAAAATTCGCACACAGTATGCGCAATAGATGGAAAAACAGGTATGCAAAATTTGGTGGCGCTGCACGCCGCCGTTTTTCGGCTATCTGCGAAAAACCTGGGGGGCGCAAATCGCCCCCCCCCCTTCGGCCCGGCGCAGGTTAACCCTCGCCCGTAAACGGCGATCTGCCACCTTCGCCCATGCAGGGGGGGGGGGTTGGTGCGACCCCCCCCTTGGCGTTTGAAAACGGAGCGTCGTAGAGCTTAGCGGAAAAGACCAACGGATTGCTCTCAACGAGATCTCGCGATTGGTGGTATATTTTTTGGTCCTAGGTCAACATTTGACCTACTTTTGACCGGTCAAAGGTCAAATTTTTCGGAAAAATAGACTTTTTCAACTTTCCGCGGCGATTGCGGCAAAACGGTGGGAGATATCGACTTGAAACCTTCACTATCGTGTTCCATGATCAATTCTCTATCGTTTGGTATGTATTTCATTTCCCTAGCTCTAAAAATGGCGCGTTGGGAGCGCCGGAAGTCGGCAAGGTCACAGTCGGCGGCAGAAATTCGAAAAATCAAAATTTAAATTTTTGAAATCTGATTGTATTTTTGGATTTGGGAGGTCCATTTGCTCCCTATAGAAGCTAATATTGCTGCATATTCCCATCGAGGTGACAAGAATTAGCAAAATAGTGGTTCGGGCGCTTTTCAAAAATAGTACCGGACGCTGTTCCTCTTGTGACGTCATAGCTCCGTGACCTGACCTGACCCGGTCAAGTTTCTTATACCATATGATAGCCAATACTTGCCCCAACATGCATGGGAAGTTTCATCACGATCCATCAACCGATGTCCGTACCACCGGCAGGAAACCTCGGGCGTTGGCACTCAGTTTGTGAAAATCCGGCCGGAGGCTGTTCCCTTTGTGACGTCATAACTCCGTGACCTGACATGACCCGGTCAAATTTTTTTTATCAAAAGATGCGCAAGGCTTGCCCTATAAGGTACCCAAAATTTGGCGGCGCTGCGCGCCGCCGTTTTTGCACTATTTCCGAAAAACCTCAGGGGGGGGGGTTGCACCAACCCCCCCCCTACATGGGCGAGGGTTAAGATTTTCAGTAGATATGGCTTAACGCTTTCCCGTTAATGCCAAAAAAAAATGAAAAAAGTTTTTGCTTTATCAAAAAATAACCGGTCATAATTCGATTAAATATTTCTCTTGCGCTAATCATCATATCACCAAGCATTCGATCGTATCAAGAGCAACCATCTTAATTTTTAGGTCAGCGACCCCTGTTGAAACACCAGATAATCCTTTGATAGCTCATAGCACTCAGTCTACAATTTACACGGCGCATGAAAGCACAGCCATCATTAGACCATCGCGCTGCCCTCACATTCGTTAGATTCCTAACGCATCCGCTTGCTCGCCTCTCCCGGCCAGACCCGCCGGAGCACCCGGCGGCGAGGCCGTCCAGTGCTGGTCTGCGGTCACTCTCCAGCCGGCCGCTGTGTAGCTCCGCCCCCCGCGCGTGACGTCACAGGGCCGCCAGAGCCGCCAGGGCAGCTGGGGTGTGGGCTCAGCCAACTATCGAATCCAGACCGTAGCGCCACTTGGCGGCCGGGAAAGATACATATTTGACCGACTATACAGTACCGCGAGTGTTAACAGTGTCTTATTTGTTACGTTATCACTGTGAGGCACGATGCTGTACTCATTATTTGAACAATCAACAAATCGTTCTTGCATACAAAACATGCTGAACGACGTAACTAGAATTTGGTACTACTTCGCCATGATGAAAATGACGTGACATTACAAAATGTCTCTTAGCTTGTATTGTGAATAGTGACAGTGGCGCGGGAACCGGGGGGGGCTAGGGGGGCTGAGCCCCCCAGCTTTTCGGCTGGGGGGGGGCTCGTAATGTATTTGAGCCCCCCCCCCCCAGCTGGAGGAATCGAAATCGGAAATCTACCAACATAATTTCATAGATTCATACATAGGCGTGGGAACCGGGGGAGGGGGCAGTGGGGGAAGCTTGCCCCCCACAACTCTGCGGCCGTGGGGATGGTGCCCCACAACGTTTCATGAGGCCAGGGACCGTTGGGCAGCTTGTCCTCCCCAAATTAGGGGTTGTGGGTCACAAAGGAAGAAAGCATGTAAGTGAAAAATCCACCTATTTCACTGGCTCGGCATCTCATTTGGCAGATTAAAACCTTTACTCCAGGTTGCCAAAACGGTAGTTTCTTCACTCAGCTGAGACGGAATACGTCACTTTCTGAAAATATTTTCGTGTTTTTTTTTTTAAGGCCAAGGTCTCAAAAATAAGTGGCCTAAAACCAGTGAGAAAACTAGATTTGGGGGTACCCTAGGTTGATTTCTATTATGGTTCAGCCCCCCCCCCCCCCCCAGTCTGGAAGAAGTTCCCGCGCCACTGAATAGTGATCTAGTTTTCTTACGTTTCGGTCGCCTATCGACCGTCCTCCCAGCGTGTGACTTCTGCCTGACCTGCTGTGTTCCAGACTCGCCGCAGGGTGACCGCGACGGAGGGGTCCAAGACGAGGAGCAGCACTGCGATGAGGAGGAGCAGCCATCAGAGGGTCCGCCTCACCCACACCGGCAGAGGTGGCGGCAGATTGAACAGCAACATCAGCAGCGGTGGAAGGAGCTGGAACTACAACATCAGCAGCTATGGCAGGAGCTGGAGAACCCAGGAAACGAAGAAAGAGTGAGGATGGACAAAGAACATGAAGAGGAGCGTCGACATCTGGAGCAGAAACACGGTACGGAGTGGCAGAACCTGGACGAACGTCACTATGATGAGCGCATTGAGCTTCATCAGCAGCACAAAGAGGACACTGGATGCATCGAAATGCCGACTGAGGACCAGTTAAGGCAGCTGGACCTCTCCCACCAGCAGCAGTGGGAAGACATCCAGCAGACCTTGCGGCAGCAGTGGCAAGAGCTGAAGCAGAGACACCAGAGAGAGTCACGGGAGCAGGAAGAGAGGCGTCATCAGCTGAGACGGAAGTTAGAAAAACAGCTTCAGGAGCAGGAACAAGACGATCAGCGGCAGAGTCTGCTGGCGCGTCACCAGGAGGAGCGTGAGCAGCTCCTTCGGCAGCACGAGGAGGCCTCTCGAGGTGTGAACGTGCCGGCCGAGAGACAGCCGCAGCCGCAGAGATCGGTGACCAAAGGACAGCGGAAAGCGCAGGCTCGGAGACAGCGGAGACAGCGAGCAGTTCTGGAGCAGCAGCATGCCGCACAGTGGGCGGGGCTGAGGCGGAAACTCCGAACACAGCGGAACAAAATGGAGCGCAGACACAAACAGGAGTCACAAGAACTGGAGCAGAGATTCCGGACCGTTCGGTCAGAGGAGGAGTTGGATCGGCCGCTGGAGGAGTGCAGCAGCAGATGTCACGAGCTGCAGGTGGAGCTGCAGAAGGAGCTGGAGGAGCTACAAAAGCAGCTTGAAGATGGTAAGCAATGAGCGGCATATTCCGCGATTCTGGGAAGCACAGATCTGGGCAGCGGGCAATGCAAAATGAATGCCGCCTTATCTTTGTTAGACATCTTTTGCAGATCATGTTTCTGCTTTTGACACAAAATATGTGGATATCGTTGCAAAAAGAACCATGTCCTCCATTTGATTACTAATTAAAAACAGCTGTTATTGTGACCATAGTATGTTAGGCTAGGGTATGTGAGAGTTTTGCAACAGATGTTGCGTAAAATAATTATTATGAACATATTTCGGCATTTCTGAGTAACTTTTGGGCATTTTAGAGACTTGCAATATGTACCCTTGACCTGGCCTTGACCTTGACCTCAAACTTTAAATTAAGTACATGTTTTTAGTTGTCCGTGATGAGATCTTTCGATTGGCGTTTGAATTTCCAAATCGGACCATTAAATCGGGAGATAACAGGGAGGGGGTAAAATTTACCCCCACCCCAGCCCCGCGCGTTCGGCTGGAGACCCCAGCCCCGCGCGGGGGTATAAATAATGCATGGTGCGATTTTCATGTTTTTACCATTTGCTTCCTAACTCAAAATAATTGTCATGGTAATTTCCCTTCTTTAGCGCTGTATCTAATATCTAAATATCAATGTCGACATTATAACTTTAATCATTAAAACTAGCGGCTTCTATTTCAGATCCGCCATCACCACCGTCCCCAGCATGACCATCACCATCACCATCACCATCACCATCACCATCACCACCGGCTCCGGGATCAAACCCGTCACCAGCATGTCCGTAAGTGTTTAATCATAAAATGACAATGATCATGTTAAACTCAAAACCTTTCTCCAATCGTCCTAATTTTGACCAAATTCCTCTGTTTGTCTTACTGCTTGTTCTTACAGTGCATAATACGCTGATCTCAAAACCTACTGACTGTTTTCCAGATCATCTACCATCACCATCACCGCCACCATCACCAGCACCACCACCAGCACCACCGGCTCCGGAACCAAGCCCGCCACCAGTCTCCGTGAGTACAGACGTGATATCGGCGGCCACTGTTGCCTGTTGCTTGTCTCTGGAAAAAAACATTTGGCGTTGCTGAATGATGCAGAAACTATAAAAAAAAAAACTAAAAATAAAAATAAGAATAAAAGCAGTGAAATATTTGATTTTTTCCATTGTCTTCGTTGGGTACATTGATATTTTTTCGGTCTACCAAACTGTCAGTTCCGACTCTTCTTTGATCTTACCAATAAATACCTAGTCCTTTACTTGGCATGAAAAACACCATGAACGTATTTTTTCAGTTATATATTTCACGGTCTTGGCTATAAGTGTGATCGATACCAGTATCGATGCCGGTCCCGTAGCTCAGTTGGTTAGAGCGTTGGACTCCGCGTGGTGAGAGCACGCGTTCCCACGGGGCTGTTACGACCCCCCCCCTGGCGTTTCGAAACGGAAGGTCGTAGAGCTTAGCGGAAAAAAACCAACGGATTGCTCTCAACGAGATCTCGCGATTGGTGGTATATTTTTTGGTCCTAGGTCAACATTTGACCTACTTTTGACCGGTCAAAGGTCAAATTTTCGGAAAAAATAGACTTTTTTCAACTTTCGGCGGCGATTGCGGCAAAACGGTGTGAGATATCGACTTGAAACCTTCTCTATCGTGTTCCTTGATCAATTCTCTATCGTTTGGTATGTATTTCGTTTCCCTAGCTCTAAAAATGGCGCGTTGGGAGCGCCGAAAGTCGGCAAGGTCACAGTCGGCGGCAGAAATTCGAATTTTTTTTTTTTTTTAATTTAAATTTTTGAAATCTGATTGTATTTTTGGATTTGGGAGGTCCATTTGCTCCCTATAGAAGCTAATATTGCTGCATATTCCCATTGAGGTGACAAGAATTAGCAAAATAGTGTTTCGGGCGCTTTTCAAAAATAGTACCGGACGCTGTTCCTCTTGTGACGTCATAGCTCCGTGACCTGACCTGACCCGGTCGAATTTCTTATACCTTATGATAGCCAATACTTGCCCCAACATGCATGGGAAGTTTCATCACGATCCATCAACCGATGTCCGTACCACCGGCAGGAAACCTCGGGCGTTGGCACTCAGTTTGTGAAAATCCGGCCGGAGGCTGTACCTCTTATGACGTCATAACTCCGTGACCTGACATGACCCGATCAATTTTTTTTCGGCAAAAGATGCGCAAAGGTTGCCCCAGAGGGTATTGAAAATTTCAGCCCGCTACGACAAGCCGTTTAGCGTGCACTTCGAAAAAACCTCAGGGGTGGGGTTGATACAACCCCCCCTAGGCGTTCTAGGGTTAAACTTTGGACTCTAAATTCTGCCATAGAATCGGAATTGCGCGATCGGAGGGTAGAGGGCAGGGTCATCGCAACAAGCTTCGCTTAGCGGTGGCTCTGTCCTTGTGAATCCTTCCCATCAAAAGGTTCGGACTAAATTTATAAAAAAAAATACTTTTTCTATTGAATGTACTTGTCCGAACATTTTTGTTTATTTTGCCGTAGACATTGCTACCGCTCTGTCTGTATGATAAGGTGATCGTTTCGTCTGTCATATAGAATGATTCAATCGTTTATATTGTTTCAGGTCCACCACCACCACCGGCTATAACCATCACCATCACCATCACCAGCACCATCACCACCGGCTCCGGTTCCAGGCCCGCCACCAGCCTCCGTGAGTGTGTGGCCATTAACCCGCGCCCCGTAGGGGGGGGGCCGAAACGGCCCCTCCCTGTCCTTTTCGGTCGATATCTCCTAAACGGCTGGAGATATCGCCACCAAACTTTCAGGACCCCTCCGGGCATCAATTTTACACATTGTGACCAAAAATTTTTCCAGAGGCTATGAGAAGACCTTCGCGAGAAGACCTGTCAGGACTACAGCTTTGAAGATACAGAAAAATGATCAGACATAAAAGGTGTAGAATTGACAGGGCTACAAAACTGCTATCTCGAATTTTTGAAATTTTTGAGTTTTGACCCCCAAAAATCAAAAAAGCATTTTTTTGGATATATTCACCAAAAAATCCAAAAAGTTTTTTGAGTTTCGAAAAAACCGGAATATATGTGATAGTGCCTACCGTCTTCTATCTACATACCAAATTTCAGATCGATACCTCGTTTTTTGGCCAAGTTATAGCGAAAAAACTGTCCAAAAATGATGACGTCAAATTTTCAAACTCAATTTTTGGCAATTCTAGAACTCGTAGAGCAAAACGAAGACCACCATTAGACTCCCCGTGACGAGCTGCATCGAATCGATACCCATTTTATGCAAAAATATCAACTTTGAAATTTGACCTAATTTGACCTGACCTTGACCTGACCTTCACAAAAACGTGACCTAGGCTGGCCCCAAAGGCTGCCTAACCCACATAATCGCATTTGTCATGTAAAATGGACCATAAAACATGTATCACACGACACATTCATATTGTGACCCCCGGTGACCTGACCTCGCTGTGACCTGACCTGGTATCAGTGACCTCAGATAGCAAAGTATGTGTTTGACGAACAATGTACCATCGATGGTTTTCAATAAATTACCAATTTACTCGCTTTCACAGCACATTTCTTGAATTGCCTGTGAACGGTGAAAATCTGACCTTTGACCTGACCTGTGACGTCATCGGTTTGACCTAGGTCAATGAAATTTGGTCACAAGGTAGTTCCCGGGTGGGGCTATCGAACGCCGTTTGAATTTTGAAAATCGGCCGGTAACTTTCCGAGATCTTAGGGGGGGCCGAAACGGCCCCCCCCCCCCTACGGGTGGTAGGGTCCGCCGGTAGCCCTACGGGGCGCGGGTTAAATGAAACCTGAAAACGTACAACTTGTTCTTTTCGCCATGTTACATAGTATATTTTGTCGGTTATTTGTTCTTCATAATCAGATCAATAGGAATAATATAATAATAAAACATTGATAACGGATTCCGTCAGGATTTTGTTGACCGTAGGGCTGGTTGAGAGGTGAATCCACTGTATTTTATAGGAGTTCTATCGGTTTGCGGTCAATTTGTATTATCTCCCTTTCAGGTCATCTACCAGCACCACCACCAGCACCACCGGCCTCAGCACCAAGCCCGCCACCAGCAGCACCACCGGCCTCAGCACCAAGCCACCACCAGCGTCCGTGAGTGTGTTATTAGCAATTGACCATAAAAGCTATATTTTTATTTTAGTCGTTATTTCGTGGCACACTGATATTTCATTTTCCATCACCAATTTTTTTATCGATAGGCTATACATTTTATTGTAGGTAACAAATATTACATCAGGAATGCAGTGATAATGAGCGCAAGAGGTGTTAATAATAAAAGTGGTGTAATAATTTTCTTACAGTGAATAACAAGTGGAACACAACATGTGCTACTTCTTTTCCAGACCATCTACCATCACCACCACCAGCACCACCGGCTCCGGAACCAAGCCCGCCACCAGCCTCCGTGAGTACAGACGCGATATCGGAGGGAACACAGTCTTCTCCTGTACTGACGTCTCAGTAGTTTGATATTTAGCCAACAGATGGCTCTGGCATACAGCACCTGAAGCATGCTGTACCGCACGACTCAGTAGTTTCTTATGTCGACAACAGATGGCTCTGGCATATGGCGCCTGAAGCATGCTGTACCGCGCGACTCAGTAGTTTCAGTGTTAGCCAACAGATGGCTCTGGCATACAGCACCTGAAGACTGCTGCGCCGCAGGTCTCAGTAGTTTCTTATGTCGCCAACAGATGGCTCTGGCATACAGCACCTGAAGAGTGCTGCGCCGCAGGTCTCAGTAAATACATAGGGAAGACCACCACCAATCTCTGAGAGCTCGGACACGATGTCATTTGGTACACTGTCGTCCGTGGCTAGTTTCTAGCAAAGGAACACTTGACGTTGATAATTGATACACAGACGAAACAAATGGAATAATTTGATCCGTCATTGTCTGGGATACACTTTTTAAGATTCGATATACTTAACTGTAAATTGCGACTCTTCTTTGCTG